GCTTTTCGTGCCTGGGGTCAATCCTGGTGCCACTCCTCGTGCACAGGCTGGAGCTGCTCGGTCTGTGGAGCCTCTGTTGAGATGGCCTGTCTCTGGTCTCTGTGTTCTTTTCCTGAGTCCACTAGGGCTTCTTCACAGGACAGTATCAAGGATGCGATATGCACTTTTTTAAGCTTTTGCCTGTGCTATGTTGCTAATGTCTCACTGGCAAATCATATGGCTAAATAAGAGAAGGGTGAACACATGGGTTTAAACAAAGGGAGGTATAATTCTTTGGTTCTCTTGCTTGAACAACACACCACTATGTACTTCGACAGAATACACTAGTTCCTGGGGGATCGTCTGGCAGCTTCTCACAACCACTAGCATCTAGCGACTTATCACTCAAATGTTAAGTTCACATTTCTTGTTCCTGGAATTGAGAGCTCTTCTTAAGCGACCTGTGAGAGAGAGAAAAGAGCCTGGATTAGAATGGGGAGTGTGGCAAAGGAGGCAGTGTGCAACAATTTTGCCAGTTGGGAGTTTGGTAATATCATTTAGCTTTATTTTAGTCTAATGTTTTCAAGCTATGAAACATAAAGCAAAACAACTAAACTCACCTAGATTTTCAAAATCCAGCAGGTTTTAAAGAAACAAAATAAATGCATATTTACGTTTTATCTACTTTCTCCAAAATGCACATGGGCTGAGAAACTTTTTTAACTGACTTACATGCTGTTTCATGTTTGTCAGGAGCAAAGTGAAATATAAGGTAGGCAGTGCTCAATTACTGATTAAATGTAATTGCACAAATATACTGATTAACACTATATATTTAATATTATATAAAGCTTTTATATACCACCTAAAAGCTAGTATCTCTGATTTCTCATTTATTTGTTATAGGAAGGAGAACATACTTTTGGGAGGTAAAAATTAGTAGTAGAGAATTAATCAGAGTCCAGAACAAAGGATTGCACAGAGTAAGCCTTTAATGACTAAATCTGACACTCTTAGTAGTAAACCTAAAATAATTGGGTAGACAAAAAACAGTACTAAAAATAAATGATATCCCGTATTTGAATGGAAACTTTAACTCTTGGAAATCACTTTTAAAACATGTTCCTCACTACAACTCTGTAAGAGAGATGAGCATCTAATCCCATTTTGCAGATGAGGAAACCGAGGCTCAGAGCCATTAAATGACTTGCCCCAAATCACACAGCTAGTTAGTGGTAGGGCCCAAATTAAAAGATTCTCCTTCATTATACTATCTTTCAAATATAATAGTGACATGTAAAAAGATAACAAACTGTTTTGTATATTATACAAATAATGTCCTTAAGTAACCAATACAATAACGGCATTCATCTGGCTTTTAAATAGACTGTTAACTTCTGGAAGATAGTGCATGACTCAGTTCATTCTTTCATTCAGTCCAAAAATATTAGCCAGGTTCTTGGTTAGAAAAATAGCAAGGTTTGTCCAGAAAGTATCCAGCCATGGATACTTTTGAGCAATACAAAGAGAAATTTATTGAAGAATATACAAGTGTACATAGGACAATGACACCTCAGTCCCCTTCAAAGTAGGCACCTTGGGACCTCACACAGTTCTTCCAGTCACCATCGGTTATCTAGTCGTATTTTCCTGAATCTCATTGACAGTCTGAAATCTCTTCCTTTCAAAGGTGATTTTAGTTTTGGGGAAAAGCCAGAAGTTGCAGGGCACTAAATCTGCGCTGTGGGGGGTGATATGATATTTCACCAAAAAACTGCATGAGACGAGACATGATGCATGAGCAGGCGCATTGTTGTGATGAAGCTGCCCATCACCACTTGCCCAGAGCTGCGGCCTTCTGAGTCATCTGAAGTTTCCAAGGAGGCATGTTCAAGTTTAATGCAAAATTTGATGAAGATTTGTTGCTTTACTCATGCAGCCATTTTGAATGAGACAGCCGCACAGCACACACGCTCATTCAATGGCGCCTACTGCCTCCATTGACTAGTACAGTGAAGTTGTCATTGTTCATGCATGCACATTCCAGTCCACTCTCCTTGGCTGCCAGGTTACATTGATGTCACGCAAACCATTCTCATTAATAATGGCTGAACTTTTTCCAGACAGACCTCGTAAAATACGATGTATGTCCTTGAAGAAGACACAGTCTAATTGGGGGGTCGGGAGGAAGAAGATGGGGAAAGCGTAAAGCAATGTAATACATATTATAATAAAGGCATTACAAAGTTATATGGTGACAAGAAGAGGCGCGTGCCCTGACCAGAAATCAAACTGGCAACTTTTCAGTTTGTGGGATGACATGTAACCCACTGAGCCACACCAGTCAGGGCTGTTTACATCTTTTCTGATGAAAGACTCCAGGTTCAGTGAATGTGAGGAAAGACCTTTTTACTCCTATGAGTGGGCGACCTTACATGACCAGAATAATTAAGAGGCACAAAGCAAATAAAACCTCTGTCCTGAAAGAGCTCATTTCCAATCTAGCTCACACAGTGACTGGTTCGTTCGTTCAACAAAGACAACTGAGGAAGAGCTCTCAGAAGGAAAAGAAAACCAGAGTAAAGGCAAAACTTTACAAATTCATAGCCCAGAAAAAGAGCCAAAATTAAAGTCTGAGATATAATAATCTCTCACTTTTTATTTAATTTTTGTCACGGTATAATATATGCAGTATTTACTATTTTAACTATCAAGCATGCAGTTCAGTGGCATTAAGTATATTCACATCATTGCACAACCATCGCTACTACCCGTCTCCAGAACAGTTCATCGTCCCAATACGAAAACTGTACCCTTTAAACACTAACCCCCTATTCCCCGTTACCCTCAGCCCCTGGTAATCTCTATTCTAATTTCTTTTCCCATGACTTGCTATTTTAGAAGCCTCAGACAAGTGGAATCATATATTTGTCCTTCTGTGTACACCCCTTTTCACATAGCGTCATGACTTCAAGGTTCATCCGTGTTGTCCCATATTTCATAATTTCATTCCCTTTAATTAAGGCCAAATAAAATTCCACTGTGTATGTGTATATATGTCAGATTTTGTTTTCCACTCATTTGTTGATGGACATTTGGGATTTTCCCATCTTTTGGCTACTGAGAATAATGCTTGTTATGCACATGGCTGTACAAATATCTGTGTGAGGCTCTGCTTTCAGTTCTTCAGGGTGTAAGTCCAGAAGTGAAACTGCTGGGTCACACAGGAATTCTATGTTCAGTTTTTTAGGAACTGCCAATTCTATTTAGCAGCGATACCATTTCACATCTCCATCAAGAATTACCACGGGTTCCAATCTCTTCAGTTGTTTGCCAACCCTTGTTTGTTATATTTGTCATCCTACTGTGTGTGAAGTGGTATCTCATGGTTTTAATTTGCATTTCCCTAATGATTAGTGATGTTGAGCATCTTTTCATGTGCTTATTGGTCATTTGTATAGTTTCTTTGGAGAAATGTCTATTCAACTCCTTTGTATAATAAACTCTAACCACAGAGTAGAAAACCGTCCCTGAGAAATGGGGACAGCATAGTTTTATCACGCAGAATTAAGCGAAATCCTTCCTTTTAGCCTACAAAAAGAACAAAGAAATGATTCTCTGGACTTGCTGGTAGTGACAACCAAATGCAAGATGCATTGTGAAGAATGAAACTAGAGCCAATTCCTTGGTGAGAGTACCTAGGATATGGCTAACCCTTAGTTCCTAACTTTCTTTGCACTTTCATGTAAAAAAATATTTATTGAGTACCTGTTGTATTAGTTTACTATTCCTGCTATAGCCAATTAGTACCTACCTAGTGGTTTAAAACAAAACACACTTATTCTCTTACTGTTCTGGAGAACAAAAAGTCTAAAATCATGGTGTTGGCATGGTCTTCCTTTTGGAGGCTTCAGGAGAGAGTCCCTTTCTTCCCTTGGCCAACTTCCACAGGTGCCTGCTTTCTTTGGTTCACGGCCCCTTACATCACTTTGATCTCTTTCTGTGTCCTTTTTTCTTTTTTTAACTGAAATTAAAAAAAAAAATTGTACTAGTTTTATTGAGATGTAATCGATATATAACATTAAATATGCTCAGGGTGTACAAGAGAGTATGTGTCTATTACAAAATAATCACCACAATGAGTCTAGTTAACATCCACCATTTCACAGTTAGAATTTTTACTCTCTTAGTAACTTCCAAATATAGTCACCATGTTACTACAGTCACCAAGCTGTACTTACCTCTTGCTTCTATGGCCAGCTCTTCTATTACGGACTTTTATTACTGACTTCCTTGCCTCCCCTTTTATAAGGACCCTAGTGATTACATTGTGCCCACCTGGATAATCCAGGTTCATTTCCCCATCTCGACATCCTCAATCACATAGCAAAGTCCTTTTGCCATATAAAGCAGCATATTCAGAGGTTCTGGGGATTAGGAGGTGGACGTCTTTGGGGCGCCTTAATTCCACCTACTAGGTGCCTGTGAATTCAAAATCGAAAAACCATGGCATTCCATGTATTTCACAGAGATCATTTTTCTCTTAGATTGTTTTAACTACCCACTTCGTTTACCAGTAGTGAGAGGACTTTCTGATGTGTCACCAGCCCCTGGACCAGAGAATTAGTTGTCTGAACTGTAATTTGCTGATATAAACAATCACAAAGACACAGCCGCCCCATTTTTATTACTACTGCTGCTGTTTGTGTAAGTAATTACAAGAAAACGAAAGCACCTTTTCCCATCAAATTAGCACCCCAACTAGCCTCACCACCATTCCCCTTCACAGCGGGGACCGCGGCAGCAAGAACTGGACCGCGCACTGGGCATCTCCGGAGGACAATGCCTTCCTGCACGTGCTCGTTCCATTCGAGCGCGGCGGACCGGCCTCCCGCTCCCCACCCGAGCTAGCGAGGCCGAGGGAGCCTCTCTAGGCCGCCGCGGCCCTTCGCGCTCTATGACGCCCGCCACCAGGAGCGGCGCAGCACCGGCGCTCGACCCCCGCCCCGTCCCGCGACGCTCACGACTCAGCCCGCCAGCTCCTATCGCCTCCTTCCGCTCTCCCCGCCCCCGGAAGCGCGCCAGCGCGTGCGCACGAGCCCGAGGCGGCCTTCACTACTCCGGCGAGCGGCGCGTGAGCGATTTCTTCTTCCCGCGCCCGCCAGCTTCCTCTCCGTTCGGGATCCGTTTCCTCTCTCCGAAGCCGGAGCAGCGGCGAGCACTCAGGGTCGGTATAAGGAAGCGCGCGGGAGGGGAGCAGGCGCCCGGCCAGCCCCTCGGGCGGCGGGTGTAACCGCAGCAGAGGCGTCGGAGACGCGGGTCTCTGAGGCCGCCCGCACACCCGGCTCCGGTGGGCACTGCCTGTCTTCAAGGCGCCTTCGTGGTGGCGGAGGGTCGGAGGCAGCTCTGAATTAGAAAGTGGCCGCGGCCAGGAGCCGGGCGCAGGTCGTCACCGCCCACCCCCGCGGACTTGAACCTGAACCCTGAGGTGTGAGGCGGGGTCTGTCCGTTATCTTCCGCCACCTTGCGGGGTCGGAAAGGGGCGGGGAACGGGGCGAGGAACGCGGGCTCCGTTCCTGAAACACAGATGTTTACCTCGGGCCTAGATTTTCGCGTACCTGATCGGTTACCTTTTTGGACCGTGTTCTGTACCCAGCTACAGAAACCTGATGTCCCAGGAGCAGGATGACAGTTTGAAAAATGCCAGTTGTGATTTGTGCGTTTTCCCGATGGATCTTGCAAGCAAGGGCACTAATGCCGCTGCCGCTGCCGCTGCCGGGAGCCGAGCTGATGGGGCGTGTCCCGGGCAGCTTGGGCAAACTCCTGCCTTCACCGAGCGCCCCGCGGGCGTTGTTGAGGCTCTGAACTACCATTTACTGTTCACCCTTTCCCAGCCTGTTCTAAAGAAGATCGTCCCTGTATTCAGCCCATATGGGTATTATGCTCTAATGTAAATGGGATCTCACTAACTTTTAAGTAAATATCAAAAGAATTGCTGAGTGGGTGGGGTTGTTGGATAGTTTAAATCCTTAAAGTAACCGTACCTGTTGGGTATTATCAACCCAAATTTAAACCTGGGAAGTCCCCCAGGCCCCGGACGAGCACCACCTCTCCGGAGCTCTGACCACTCGGGGAGGCTGAGGCACACAGCTGATGGAGACGGCAGGTACCTTGCCAGTGCAGATACGGGGGCAGTGTGGTGGAGGCAGCGGAGGGGCGAGGGTGGGAAACTGGTTCAGGAAAAGGAGGTGACTTTGTGGCTTACATAGCTGTCAAGGAGCAGAACCAGGCTCGATCTTAGGGCTCCTAGCTCCAGTCAGAGAAACATTCTGCGAGTACTGCTTGTCGGATCCTGCGCTAGGCACGGCGCCCTGAGACTTAGTGGTGCGCTGGCTGTCAGGAGTTCCAGTCCGGTAAGGAGACAGCGAGGTAGGGGACTGTTAGCTATGACAACCAGGGATTTCAAAGTAGCTAATCATTTGATTTGGGGATTTAGACTTAGTTCATATATAATCTTAGGGTTGGGAAAGAGCATATTCTCCTAATGCATGAATTCCCTCTGCAGCATCCCAGCCAGTGGACAGTCAGCCTTTTCCCCAAAATGGACTAGTGAATCATGGCTCCTGATCTTAGAAAGTAGCCCAGTCCAGCCCTGGCCAGGTGGCTCAGTTGGTTGGAGTTCTGTCCCGGGACTGGCTCCTGCAGGAGGCAGCTGGTGGATGTTTCTCTCTGACAATGCTGTCTGTGTCTGTCTGTCTCCTTCTCTTCTCCTCCCTCTAAAAACTCAATAAACATCCTCAGGTGAGGTTTAAGAAAGAAAAGAAAGTAGCCCCAGTCCATTTTTGAGCAGTTCTAACATTAAATTCAAGATGGCTTTCCTATCCACTCCACCTGTTGGAGTAAGTTCTGCCTTGAACTACAAGTGACAGCTCTAAACTCTTTTCTCATATCAGTCCTGCGAGTGTCTAAATACATTCTATTCTGAAAACCCTTAATCAAGATTTACATTTTAGACTCTTCATTGTAGTTCCCAGAACTATCTGCTTCGCTCTGGAAGCTCTGGGGTGTGCTGTGAAACCATTTGCTTTTAAAATTGAAGAAATAAAAAAAAAAAAAATTGATCTCAAAGGTATTCTTAGCCAAGTAACAAAGTGAGAAAGGAAAAACAACCACTACTCTTTTTTTATTTCAGCCCTCGACTTCTTGGATTGCAGAGTTAATTATCAAAAAAAAAAAAAAAAAAAAAGGTAACTTTGGGGGGCATTTAATGACAGTGTGCATTTTGAATTGTTTTTCTTTGTGAACTCAGGTGGGCAGAGTTGGGTTGGTAACCACCAGTCATACTCCTTAAGTTTGTGGTGTCCATGATCACAGTCCCGTAGCCAGGCTCTTCCTTCTTCTTTATCCCCCTTTCCCACCCTTACTTCTCCTCTCCCCGCAAGGCCTCGTCTAATGTAGGACCTTCCTGTCCAGCCTGGATAACTTTATTTATGTGTTTGTACCCATGAGGGATTTAGTCTTGTATGTGTTTTAAGTTTTTCAAAATGGTATTGTTCATTTAGTTCTGCTCTTTTAGTAAACATTGTTTCGTAGACCTCAGTTCATCCTTTTGGATTGGTATATAATATACCATATGCACCATTTTGCTTAGCCACTTTTAACAAGACATTGGGTTTTTTCTAACTTGTTATTACAAATAGTGTGCTGTCTTGAGCATCTTTGTACGCGTACCTGGGAACACAAGATTAGCATGTGGCAGAATTGAGCCTGAGCCTGAGTGTATCTGACTCAGTTCATTCTTTTTCAGTCTTTTAATAAAATTGTATTATTAATCCATTGTGGATTATCGTTTTGTATATATCTGCATTTTTCATGCCGATATATCACCTAAGTCAGAGGTCCACAAATTTTTTCAGCAAAGGACCAGTTGGTAACTATCTTGGGCTTTGTGAGCCATAGGGGTTCTGTCACATTCAGGGCTCTGCCGTCGTAGTGAGAAAGCTGTCAGAGACAGTACCTCAGCCGGTGAGTGGGGCCGTGAGAGATTGCAGTTTATAAAATGTTTGACTCTCATCTAGTTTCTGACACCTCCCAAAACCCTTGGAATTTCCCAAGGGTTGAAAGTGGTACTGGTGTTTTTGTTATGTTAACGAGGTGACTTTTGGACCCTACCCAAGGGTGGGGGCTGGTTGCTGGGAGAATCAGTCAGATTAAAGGTTTGGAACTTTCAGGTTCCACTTGCCCTCTGGGGAGAGGGGGTGGAGAGTGAATTGCCAGTGGCTAAAAATTTCATCCAGACTATGCAGGGAAGCCTCCCTAAAAACCCAGGAGAGCTGGCTGGTTCTTGTTTTGGAGAACTTCCACAGGACCGCACTTTCCTTATCTCTTCATCTGACTGTGGACGCCTGTCCTGCAACATCCTTTGTAATAAATTGGTAATCTAGTGAGTACAGGGGTTTTCTTGAGGTCTGTGAACTGTTCTAGCAAATCACATCCGGGGACGGGCTGGGGGGACGCTGCTTTATAACCAGTCACTTAGAAGTACAGGCAACAACCTGGATTTGGGATTAGCATCCTGAGTTGGAGGGCGTCCTTGGAACCTCCAGTTTGTAGTTGGTTATTCAGAAAGCACAGGTAACAACCTGGGTTTGCGACTGGTGTGGCCAGTTGAGGGTGGTCTTGAGGGACGGAGCCCTTTTCCCATGGAATCTGGTGTACAGTGTCAGTTAAGTTGAATTCTCAGACACCCTGTTGATGTCTGAGAATTGTTTGTTGGTCTGAGGAAGCCTCCTTACCCACATTAGAATTTAGTCTGGGAACCTTTTCAAAACTGTGTTCCTTTAAAACTTACAGAAACAAATATCAGGCCAAACTTAGCCCATGCATAGTGGTTTGCTGACCCCTGATAAATAATTATTTTAATGAAATCCTAATATTTCTCTATTCAAGTTTTTTCATTATTACAAACTTATAATTAGTACCATTCCTTTTTAATATTCTTAGGATAAATTTTCAGAAATGAGGGCACTGGTTCAAACGATTTAAGACTTCTGTGGCTCTAAAAAAATTTTTTTTAAGATTTTATTTATCTTTAGAGAGAAGGGAAGGGAGGGAGAAAAGAGAGGGGGAGAAACATCGATGTGCAAGAGATACATCCATCAGTTGCCTCTCGCGCGCCCCCAACTGGAGACCTGGCTTGCAACCCAGGCATGAGCCCTGGCTGGGAATCAAACAGGAAACCTTTCAGTTCACAGGCTGGCACTCAGTCAATCCACTGTGTGGCTCTAAACATTAATTGCCAAATGCCTTTAACAGACAGTTTTCAGTTTTTATAAATTACTGTGAGAGAGTAGACTTTCATTTCAGCATTGGTAAATATTATATCTAAAACCTTATTAGACACCTCTTTTTGAGGATTTTGGAGGAACTTTTCTTCTGTCACTTTGAATTTTAAAACATAAAGAGGACATTATGTTATGAGAAGTAATTTTTTTTGTATTTTAATATTAGGTATAGGTTTATTACCTAATTTTTCTTAAATATTTAAGATTTACTTAACACATCTTATTTCAGCTTAAATGTAATAATGTTAGAATTTTAAAACTCACTTGTACTTTAATTTTCACCTAGTTTAAATTTCCTTAAACACTGTACTCCATTTGCAAATTTATTTAATCAACAGCACAATTACAATTTTAGTATACAGTTTTTTATTTTCTTCCTCAAACATCTGACAAGTCACACTTAAGAGACCTAATAAAGAAACTCTTAAGTATTTATTTGTTGTTAATAAACCTAATAAATCTAAACTTACTGATTTAATCAGAGTTCCTTATACGTTTAATACAACAGAATCTCTTAAATTCTTTAAAACCTTAGGCAGACAGTTGTCCAATGATGATAAAATGTATTACCACATATACTCTACCCCTATCATGTTTAACTTACCACATTAATATTAATAGTGTAAATTTTGGTTGATTTTAAAATCACGTTCGTACTTGTTTTTATAAGTTGCAGGGTCACTTAAACAATTAAAGGCTGCAGAGTATCATGGCTGATTTAGGGTACAGATTACATAATTTTTTATTGCTTGATTGGATATAATGAAATTGATCAAATTGCATATAGTGAGCACATAATTGGACTGTTACCTATATATTATTATTGGAAATATGTATATTACTTTCCCTTAATGTAACTCATACTATTTGCCCCTGTTGAATATCAATTTGAACTTACGTCTTTCCATAGAATTACTTTTTCATTTTTACATGTTTTGTTTGTGTTTTTTGTTTTTCAGTGCTAAATCTCCAGCTTGGACAGTGAAAGCACCTTTCACACAGAGTCCTTTGTTTTGTTCCCACTAGTCCAGGCATATTTGAATATTGTGCTTTCTGACAACAGCAATATATTCCAGGCCTTTCTTCAGTCCCCCCCTCCTTCAGAAATGGAGCCAGCTGTCCTGATTTTTTTTAATTAATTATTTTTTTAGTGGAGAATAGTATTAGAGATTGCACTCTGAACTCAAGCTGCTGCTAAGACCAATGCGAAAGAAAAATATTTTTTAAAGGCTACAATTTTATAATGATATTTCCAATTTAATTTCAATTCTATAGAGTATTAAAATATTTTTAAATCAACAAGTCACCTGGCAGTTTAAGGTCTATAACCAACACAGTGGTTTCTGCACTATGCTAGAGGCCCCTACTTTGAACATTTTTATCCATTTCTCCCAATATTTAACTCTATGTGTCTAAATAATATGCTTTCATTTTTTAATTTAAGCAGCCTGTTTGCTATAAAATGTCTTATGCTAGACTCCCTTTAACACAGGAAGACATACAGACTCTTCCCTTGTCATCTTCCACATGTGGCTATGTCCGAGTTTGTGATTTAATTTTTAGAGGTTTGCCTCTAAACTACCGTGTGGCCTATGATTGTGCCTTGGAGTTTTAGTTTCTCCTTAAGAAGGATAGAGGCAGCTTTTCTTTTTCATAGGAACCCTCCTTTCTGTTGCTGCTTCCATAACTGCAGTGAAGGAGCAGAATAGGGCAAAGACAAGTACTAAAATAAAATTAGGGAGGTGTGTCTGTCTGCATTGACTGCTTTCACTCAACTAATGTGTTTGGGCTGGCTTGGCAGGTCTTACGAGGCTTTAAAACCATCCTTTCTTATTCTGCACTCTAACTGTGCAGAATTTAAAGAGAACCTAATTTAGAGAAGGCAGATTTTCCTTAGGGTTCACCTAAGCATCCATGTTTGTGATGTCCCTGCTTTGATGATCTATTTTGATTTTCTTGCGAACTAACCTATTAGACCTATTTTTCAAATCGCTGGTACAACTTGGAATGGCTCCTGTAGCCCCATTATCACTTCTTTGGGTTACTGTTTTTTGTAGGGTTTTTGGGGTCATGTTTCTCTTAATATACTAACCCAACCTCTCAGCTTGGGAAAACTGAATTACTATATAAAAATAAAGAGTACTTTTAAATGACTTTTTAGTCTGATGGTTATATTTTTCTCCCTTTTTAGATATATTTTTGCCATCATGGATCGGTTCGGAGATATATCAGAAGGTGAAGTGGACCATTCTTTCTTTGACAGTGACTTTGAGGAAACAAAGAAAAGTGGAAGTAACTCAGTTTTTGACAAGCAAAATGATGATTCTAAAGAGAGAATAGACAAAAATACAGAAAATGTAAACTCAAAATTTAGAATGCAAAGAAAAGAAAATAATCTTACTGAGAAAGGAAATGAAAGCACAGTGAAAATCCCTCCAGAAGAACATGTAATGGAAAATGATAATACACAAACCAGAAATTCCTTATCCTTGACCACTTCTTCAAGATCAAAAAAATTGTGTGATGCTACAACAGGACATAAAATACACTTGACTATCCCAAATAGAATTCCCAAAATTATAAAAGAAGGTGAAGATGATTACTATACAGATGGAGAGGAAAGCAGCGATGATGGGAGAAAACATCTTGTCAGGTCCAAATCAGCCAAACCCTCTAGTCATGTTAAAAAAGGCCTAAGTAGAAAATATTCCAAAAGGAGTTCCTCTTCCTCTTTGTCCTCCTCAACTTCAAGTTCAGGCACAGATTGTTCAGATGCAGAGTCTGATAATAGTACGTCTGATTCATCTCCATCATTAAAGAAACACCTCTCAGGTGTAACCCACTTGTCACCAAAACAGAAATCTAAACGAGGAGTAAAATCAACAGGAACACAGCCTTCAAGTACTAAACCAAAAGTCGGTGACTGCACTGAGGAATCTGAAGATACTGTGACAGATGTCACTCCTTTATCGACCCCAGACATCAGCCCTGTCCAGTCTTTTGAACTGGGTATGGCAAACGATCAGAAAATAAAAATTAAAAGGCAAGAAAATGTGAGTCAAGAAGTGTATGGAAATGTTGAGGATTTAAAAAGTAATTTGAAATCGGCCAAAAAAGGAAAAGAAAAACATGGGTCAGATCTCACCTCGAAGTCTTCTCTGTTAGATTCCAGTTCAGACCACAGATATAAACAAAAAGCCTTACATGACACAATGGACCTGAATCATCTCTTGAAAGGTAACTTTTCTTTTTCAAGACTATGTTGAATTTAAATATTAAACTTAACAGTATATTGAGCTTAAATATTAAATACTATGAATTTGTGTTGATTTTTCTAATAGATATGTTTTGTTGTTTGGGATAATGAATATCATAACTTTACCAAGTATTCCAATTTATCATAAAAATATCAGGCATACCATTATATCATTGCAAAGCTAATCAACTAGGCCTAAAAATGACTTCATACTAATTTTTTTTTGGTTAGTGCCATACAAACTCAAAATGCCTGGAGGGACCAAATGGGCAAAACAATTGAGACAAGAGGAGCCCATCCAATTTTCCCACATTTGATAGAGACCTTAGCAATAGATCTATTTCATTTTCTTCTTCAAGAAAGGCAACGTCACTGAGGTCAGAATAACCTGACCTGTCACCTTCATACCAGGGAAAGTGGCAAGAAGGCTGGCAAATGAAAGAACTCAGAATAAACTACAGGGCACTGTTCAGATTTTATATTAAAGGGTGAAGAGAATCACATGAAAATAATTACCTAGTTGATGAAATAGCATAATTCAACTTTCAAATATAAATATTTTTAATTAGAATAATCTTTATTGCTGTATTTCTATATCAGTTTATTATTATCCATGTTTCATTTGAAAGGAACAGTATATTTTTTCCAGGTGGACTAAAAGCAGCCTCAGACTTTCCTTGGGACTTGTTACTATAACTAAAAATAGTGGGCTTGCAGGTTAGGTTTTAGGTCAGTTGAAGATAACATTTTTAAGTTGTAAATAGGATTCTCTTTGTTTGAAATGTTAGTTGAAAGAATAAATCTTGAGCTTCATAATTTGCGTAGTGGTGAAAATGTAAGGGCATAAATAAATTCTTTATTTTTGTCAAATAACTCATAGGTCGATAAAGTGATTTTGGAGCAGTTTACACCTGTGAATATTCCCTGTTCTGTAGGTTTGCTTTCCTCTTTGTTCTGATTGTCCTGTGGTTTAGTGTGTCTGAAACACGGGCCTCTCCACATTGGCCACCACCGCCTAGTCGGCTAAGCCTCCACGAAATATAGCTTTCCTATAAATGCTCCCTGAGCCTCTTAAAACTTTCAGGATTGAGACTTTTTTCTATTCTTGCCCTTCTGCTGCTTCTGCTAACAACCAGAGTGATCTTTTAAAAAGTAAATCAGTCCTACTGGTTTCTTAACTCTTCAGTGGGTTTACTGTTATGTTAAAAATAAAATCCAAATTCCTTATCATAGCCTGACAGGCTATGTTAAATCCATCAGTGATTCTCATCCCACACAGGACGTCGGTGTCCTCCGGAGAGCTAGTAAAACAGTTAAAGCAAATGCTGATGCCTAGGCCCCACCAAGGGCATCCTCATACAATTGGTCCTGTGTGCTATTAAGGTTGGTGAGAAGAACTACTGCCCTACAGCATACGGATGTCGCCTCCATCTCTTTTTAATCTCCCGTTCCTGTGCTCCAGCGGCACTGCCTCCTTACTGTTCTGGGAACACTTCGCTCTTGAGGGCATTTGCGCTTGCTGTTGCCCTTTCTTTTGCATAGGCTGCTTCTGTGTCTCAGGTCTCAGCTTATAAGCACCTCTTCCGAGAGACTTTTTCTTAACATAGCTTCGCATCCTTGACCCTTACCTACCTCTCTGTCCCCAAAGCCTGTTTCCTTCCATCAGAATATGTATTAGACCCTGAAATTGGTGTAGTTTGATTTGCTTTTCTCTCCCCTTGGAGCGTAAGCAACAGGAGGGCAGGACCTTATTCCTTACTAGAACCTCCAAATCTGGCAAGCATTGGCACGCAATAGACAGTAACTGTCAACTGAAGGGACTGCGAGGAAGTTTCTGTTGAACATCTTTAATGGTTAGGAAATGTATTTCATGTTTCACTGAAATTTGATTTTGTGTCAATTACCCATTAGTCTTTGATTTGCCGTCTGAAGTTTCATAGAATAAGTCTGTGCCTCCTTATACCCTTTAGTAAAGTTGATTAACGTTCTTCTCTAGGGAAATTCTCTAATTCTTTGTCAAGATACCCAGTGTAACAGTTTTCACTTTAAAAAAATTCTTACAACCACTTTCCAGTCTGTTAGAGGTTCTTAACTTCAAATGCAGATGGGTCAGTTGGGGATCCTGTTAAAACAGATTCTGGTTCAGTAGATCTTGAGCAGAAACCAAGGAGCATCATTGCTAACCAGCCCACTGGTGATACCAATACTCCTGGTCCAAGGACCACAGCCTGAATACCTAGATTCTAAAAAAAATTTGGTTCCATGGAAAGTAAACACAGGTGTCTCTCACTGTTCCTGTCTAAGTTGGATCAGCCTATGTATTTTTAAGTTTGACATGGCAGAAACAATAATCACACCCAGAATCCCTCAGCAGTTTCTCCAAAAATAAATGAAGCACTGAAACACAGTTTTCAACAGGGAAACTGAACAAAAATGTATATAAAAGGAAAGCTTTATTCATACTGCTGCACAGTAGGGAGCCAGTGTGGGGCGTGATGTCAGTGACTTGCTGCTAAGTGGTGCCCAGGGCTTTTAAAGGCACTGGAACAAAGGTGGCATTTGCTAGTTGGTAGCTCTGTTATTGGACTCCATAGTATAACAATCCAGTGAAGATTCCGTGTAATAATGAAATACTTCAAACACTAATGATGGCTCTCGGCCTGCTGCATAATGTTTTTCTTTAGTTATTCGAAATTATTCATTCTTAATTTCCGAGCGTAGTTTTTCAGATCCAGAATATTTTTATAAGTTTTCTTTGTTTTTCCACATGTAGCTAAACCGTGGACATGTGAATTGGAGATGTGCGCGTGGCCAGGCCTTTTCGGCACTCAATCTCTTAGTGTGCGCTTTATCATTTGTAGCTGCTGCTCTATGGGCTTTTCTAGGCCTCTTTGTCTCACCTGATTTCTTCACAGCCTTTTCCACTTCCTTGGAAGAGAAATTCACTTAATGTAAGGAAAATGATTGCGATAATGCATAACACATTTAAAAAATTAAGAGCATGACATGTGATCCTATCAAAACACCCTGAGGTAGGAACACAGCCTACACTACATTGTCTGAACTTAAACATTTTTCACTACCTAAGTACTAAGATACATAAAACAGTTTGTTGATTCAGATAGTGAATTTTGAGTAAAAAATTTTGCAAGCAATTATAGCAAACATTGGGCAAGAGTTTATTGTGAGGGATGCCTATAGCTTACAGTATTAATGTTATTTATTGGTTTAAAACAATGAGTTTACTAATGTTTGTAAATTTGAACTATGAAATAATAAGCATGTGAAACAAAGGTTAATAAAAGAATATAAAATCAGGTATCCCATTTAGGGCCCATTGGACTATGAAACTGTGTTGAATTTGGGTGAAGAAAATTCTGGAAGTGGATTCCAAATTTTAGGCTTCTAACTGTTATCCACATGACCCTTGACAAACAGTAACCAGTTTCTTCATTTGTCGGATGAGGTGTTGATAAATGCTGCTAAGGCCCAATTCTAAATTGAGATGTCTGGGGTACTATGAGAAATATTAGAAGGGAAGATCAGTGTAGTCTAATGTTATTAGACATCTGACATTAAAGTAGATCTTGAAAATTTATTAGAATTTCTGAATATTTAGCCTCTTCTAGCTCAGTTGGATAGCTGATTTGGGCTATTTCCCACCTCTACCCCAAGGCTGCCTTTGGCTATGTAAATAGCAAAGGAGGGTTTGGTTGGAATTAGTTCTTTGACCTTCAGCTGTGAAATGACTGACTAGGCAGAGAGAGCATTAAAAAGTAGAGTAAACAGTAAGCAGAAGTTCAGGCATTGGGTTAAGGCCTGAATCTCTTGTATTTGGGGAACATTGAAGAAGTTGACATGACTAGATTTGAAGGCATGTTTCATATACTTCGTATAGGGGAAATTAGGTTAGTTTGGGAAGAATCTGTAGGCCATAATGGAGACAATTTAGAAATGCTCCATCTCAAATTTTATTGCATAGATTCTGTATGAAATAATTAGATATATCATTAGGTGATGTATCCTGAGAAGAAAAATTGTAAGAGAAAGAAATTTGATTAAAGAACAATTAATGAGCAAAGAAACTAATTAAACTTATTGCTAAACTGATACCAACACAGGAGGGAATGAAGCAAAATGCCTTATTCAAAGGGAAGATAGAGACCCTGTTATACTCTGTAAGGAAGAGAATGCCATACAGCAGTCCCCCTTCCTCAGTGAGTACATTCCCAGACCCCTGCAGGTGCCTGAAACAGGGTGTACTGAACCCTAGGGACCCTATGTTTTTTCTATATACACATACCTATAATACAGTGTAAGTTATAAATTAGGCACAGTAAGAGATTAACAACAACAACTTAATAAAATAGAACACTTACAGCAATGCACTGTAATCAAAGTTATGTAAATGGCCTTGGGGCCATTAGTAATTAAAGTAAGGGTGACTTGAACACAAGCATCGCCCTGCTGCCGCAGCTGATCTGATAACCCAGATGTCCACAAAGTGACTTCCGTGTGGGTAGTGCATACAGTGTAGATACACTGGACAAAGGGATGATTGGCATCCCAGGCGGGACAGCATAAGATGTCATCATGCTACTCCGAATGGGAATGGCATACAACCTAAAACTTATGAATAGTTTATTTCTGGAATTTTCCATTTAATATTTTTGAACCACAGTTGACCACGGGTAACTGAAACCGCAGAAAGCAAAACCGCGGAGGTGTGGGGCTGAAGGGGGTGGTTCTGTACTGAGACTGGCCACTGGCACGCCCACCCTGGCCAGCATGCGTGCCCCTCCACTGGCAGGCTGCAGCGAACAAGGTGCAGGCGGGTGAGCAGGGAACCTCAGATGTCCCCGGCACATACATACCAGGTACCTGTTACCAAACGTTTGCGGAAAGCTGAGATCAAGAGAGGCACCAGACTCACAGATGAAGAACATAATACCTGGAGCAGAGTTAAAAGTGAAGCTCAGTGATTTTAAGTGAAAACTATTGTCACTAGTAAAATAGACATGATTCGCTTTTTATGCTCTCCTGTCACGTGTGCGCAGTAGGGTTTTCCAGGGCCTGTGTGACAGTGACAGCACCACAGGTGAGGGCAGAAGCAGGCAATGGGACTCGGCCGCCTACCGCTCAGGCACTAAAAGACGTGCAGAATGTTAAATTCCGCTGCTCTTACTGTTTTTATAAGAATGTAATGTTAACATAGCATTGGTTATTTTCAGATGAATGAATAATTATCTTTAAATTTTTTCACTTTTATTTTTAACATGGTAAATATAGATAGATGTACCCCACATAAGCATTCTTTGGGGTGCTCAGTAATATTTAGGTGTGTAAAAGGGTCCTGAGACCAAAAGTTTTAAGAACTTCTAGAAGAATGGATTAGAATATATGATTTGTTGTGTATTAGAGGGAAAAAAATTTAGCATAATCTTCCAAGAGAGGAAAACAAGGAAAAAAAGGTATTTTTTTAAGATTGTAGGAAAAGAGATCAAACAATGTTAAGGGGGTGGTTTTAACTTAATCTGAAAATACCATCAGAGGGAGGAAAAAATTTTAAATCAAATCTAACCAAAAATATATTTAAAATAATATGGAAAGAATGAAAATAAAGACTTGAAAAATACATCAGGCAGGTATTAGCAAAGAGGAAATAGAATTATCGCTCCTATTGGTATACACAATAGAATTCAAGGGCAGAAAAGCACTAAAAAGAACAAAGAGTATCTTACATTAATAAACTGACCAAATACACCAAAAAGATTTAAGAGCCATTGACTTGAAATGTATGATAAAAGCAAAACAGAACTGGAAGATGAAATTGACAAAACCACAATCACTATGGAAGATTTATAGATCAGTTAGACAGCCCCCCTCCAAAAAACAAAAACAAAAAAAAACCTAACAAACATTAACTGCCTGCCTGTGGACTGCACTTGGTCCACAAGTATTTTGTTTGTCTATCACACACCATTTTTTTTTTAAGTGATGACATATCACTGGCTATTCCTACATATAAATTACCTCAACACTTAAAGAGACTCACAGGTAGGACTGGGTTTGGTAGGACTGTGAGTAAAAATCACCTGAGCGCTCTTTACTCACAGGTCAGGTATCTGGGTTTGGGATGACTTGACCAAGACTGCTGAGCAGGGGGCCCGCATGTACCCTTTCTGTGTGACCTGGCTTCTCCACGAATGGCAGCATCAGGGTGGTTGGACTTCTTACACGGTGGCTCAAGTCTCCAAGTACAGTGTTCCGGGAGACAAGGCAGAAACCTCATTGCCTTTTATGACCTAGCCTCAGAAGTCATGTAGCTTCATCTCTTCCATGTTCTATTGGTTTAAACAGTCATAAACCTTCCCAGATTTAAGAAGAGGAGCATAGGCCCTCCCTCTTAATAAGAATGTGAGGTAACTTATGGACATGTTTTTAAAACTCTTCAGTCTATCCTCTGTCCACACAATAATTTATACATATTCCCCCCCAAACGCCAAAATACAGTGCTCCTTTCCAAAGATTCCCCCAACCTTGAGACCCAGAGTCTAAAACAAGTCCAAGGGCAGCTGAGGCTGCTCAGACATGGTTCCTCAGTTATGTGTAGCCCTTTGAGTCCTTTGAGAATCTTCTGCCAGGAAGGACTAGAAAGGAGAAGTAGATATATATATATATATATATATATATATATATATATATATATATATATATTTTTTTTTTTTTTTTTTTAATCCTCACCCGAGGACATTTTTTTCATTGCTATTTAGAGAGAAGAAGGGAGAGAGAAACATTGATGCGGAAGAGAAGCATCGATTGGTTGCCTCCCATAAGCACATGGGACTGGGGGTCATATGTGCCCCAACAGGGTAGCGAATCTGTGGCCTTTGGTTATAGGACAGCACTCCAGCCAATTGAGCCACACTGGCCTGGGCCAGCAGATATATTTTTGAATCCCCTAAGTCCTGGTTCCTTTTTGCTTGAAAACTGACTGGATCCTCTTTTGGTCCATCTCTCTCTCATCATTTTGGACAAAATAAGCCACTGACACTTTCGGCATTCTGTGTGGGGATCACTCAGCCCATGGTACCTAGTAAACAGCCAACAGTGTCCCTAAAATCCTGCCACTTTATCCTCTTCATAGCAATCCCCTGTAGATTCTTCCAGCTCTACTTGTCACCTGGTCTCAACCAATGCCATCCGTTTCAGGTTTTTGTTACAGTAATACCACGATTCCTGGTCCCCCATTTTGTGTTAGTTCCTGCTGCTCTGATAACAAATCACAAAACATAGAGCTGTGTGAAGCAGCAGCCTCAGATGACTCACAGACAAGATCATAGTGCCTCCACAGGCCCCTCTGTGTGGTTTGCCTCCCTCACAGCCTGGCAGCCTCAGGGCCCTGAGGGCAAGTGCCCAGGGAAGCGGGGGTGCATCTCCTTTTTGCCCAGCTTTGAAAGCCACCTGGGCTGTGTCATACTGGTCCACATAGTCACAAGCCTGCCAGATTCCGAGGAAGGGGACTGGGAGAATGCCACAGAATTTCTCATCCGGTAAGTTCACAAAGAAGACAAGGAAGTTCAGTGAATTTAATTCTTATTCCTTGAAGTGAGGCTTATCAGTTTATAAGTTTGGATTAATTAAAAAACTTTTACTTTAGAAAGCAAGTATTTAAGTAGGGATTGTGAATGTGCCTATAGGATGGATTTTTTTAAACTAATATGAATAAGGTCTTAATATGGCTTGGGGTAAAATTCTCAGTGGTATCATTATACATGAGTTTTTAAAATGCAGTCTGTATCTCGGCCTAGGTGAAAGTAAAGTCGACACATCTAGTAAACGATGTTAGATGACACCGGAAATGGCTCTAGTGACAACGGACGCTGATACTGAACTACTATAACAAGTTTGAACAAAGTTGTTTCATTGCAGAAAATTAGGGAGAAGCAATATTTCATAAATATGTATATATTTGTACAAATGTATCCCTGAAAGTTTATTCAAGTAAAAAAAAATTACATCTTAATTGGAAAAACCAGTGGCTCATATACAAGGGTGGGCAAAAATAGGTTTGCCGTTGTGAGTACACAAACAGTTTATTCTTGATTTACTATTTATTAATTATATTACAACTATAAATCTACTTTTGCTCACCCCTGTGTTTGTAATTGATTCATACTAAAGCATATAGCCACTTTAGGAAAAAACATAATAGTAATAACTGGTATCAAAATATAAGCACTCCATATATATATTTACCATCAGAGTTAGAATGCCAATTTTAAAAATGAATTAGATTAAACTTTGTTTTTTAATTAATTTATTACTATTGCCTTATTTTACTTTTTAAAACTTTTTAAAAATGCCATTAAGAAAATAGTTTTTAATTCCCTCTAGAATTTCATTTTAAAGGTTTTCATATATAGCTAAATTAATCTAGAAACCTTATTAAATTCTACAAAATGACCATTTTTTGGAAGCAAGATAATTACGTTCAGCACATCTATATCTTTTTAAATGTGTTCTCATTCAGATTTTGTCATTAACTCATAAGCAATTAGTATTGTTTTCAACAAATTACCAACCATTGCTTTCCTTTTTTTTCTCAGGAAGCCCCTGTAATACTTCTGTAAGTTTCTGTAATCTCAGATCATCTTTGGTTAGATGTAGGGAGGTAGACTTAACAGTTTTTGTGACCTTGCCTAACTTTTATTTCTGTGCCGTCAAAGATTTTTAGATGAGGGTTAAACATGCCCCTTCCCCTTCTAGCACTGTGCTCTTACCAGTACAAAATGCTAAGTGAGTCAAAGAATTGGCATGAAGGTACTCAAGTAAAAACAAGTAATGGTTACTTCAGAAATTGTTGTGAAAAAAATGTGTCAGTATATTACCCTGATACAGTGTATTCCTTTTTAGTATAGACTTAAGCGGAAACATTTAGTAAGCTTAATATTTTTAGAAACTTTCATATGATATTCATAGTATGCAAAATATTTTTCTTGGTTAAAAACTTTTTATACAATATATTCATGTTGGCTTATGTTTAGTCAGGAATGAAATGTTTGACTTTCACAGAAGTATTTGTTTTATTACCAATATTAAGATCACAAATCATTTGTAGTAAAATATTTTCAGATTAAGTCAAAAGTTTCAGAATATTCTAGGTTTGTTTTTGCCATTGTTTCAATCAGTCATTGCTGGGGGCATTTTATTTTTAAAGTATGGCTTCCAACTAACAAAAAATGTCAAAATTAAGTATTGTATTAATGCACTCAACCAGAGGTTTCCAACCTCCCTACTAAGCTGCCTTAGGGAAACATAAAATGAACATGACTGAGGCATTTTCCATAAATCATACCTACCATAGAACCAGCACCATATACGTTTCTTATTAGAATATTTTCATTGTTTTGTGTATAACTTTAATTCCCAAAGAGTCCAGTAAGCATAAAACACTAAGCTGCCTCTGGATTTTTTCTATACAATGTTTTCTAGTCTGGATGCTATTAACAGTATTTCATCCACACCTTTTCATGGATCAATGTAGTTTTCCTTTTTAAGAGTTAAAACTTGTACCATCATATTTCTGTACTACTTTCTTTAGCCATTTTTCCTTCTCTTCACTTCTGTAGCTTTCCTGGAATTGGATAAAAAGGGACCACAGAAACATCACTTAGACCAGCCTTCAGTAGCACCTAGGAGAAACTACTCTTTCACAAGAGAGGAGGTGAGACAGATTGATCGGGAAAATCAGAGGCTTTTGAAAGAACTGTCGAGGCAGGCTGAAAAACCAGGAAGCAAAAATACAGTTCCTAGAAGATCGATTAGTCATCCCCCTAAGTTGTATCACAGTGCTGTCAACAGACAGAGGGAACAACAAAGGATTGAAAGAGAAAATTTGGTAAGTAACTGAAATTAGTCATCAAAGAAAATGCATTTATATTGATTTTAAGTGCAATTTACCGGAAACCCAAAACAGCCCAATTTTCAAACTTTATTATATAAAGGTAGGCTTAGATGTGTTTGTATGAAATACATGATGAACTATGAGCCTGTAAGGTACAATATGTAGTTTTTTTTCCCAGCTAACTCTATTTTAAGGGAACACTAAGTGAGAATACTGAAAGTTCCATTATCTATTTGACTAGATCTGTTAAATCACTGCAATACTACAGGAAATGGTGCCCAAGGGTTAGATGTATGTATCTTCTGTGAAGTATTCAGTCATTCGCTAAACCTATTTCACTGTATTGTATCCCTGAAAGCCAAAATAATTTATGTATCACTTATTTCAAAGAATAAATACGTCCTCAAAGAGGTCAGATATGGTAGTTTGCTACTTGAATTTGTGAAAGACATTGCTTGTTAAGAACCGTAGTTACACTTTGATGTTGTTCTAAGGAGTGTATACGGGGACTGATAAATCCTTCACATTGAATACTTATTCATGCATATCATTTTCTTCATGAAATTCAGCTCATAACAATTGCTGATGTTTACTGAGCTCTTACTAAATGCCAGGCATTATTCTTAGCGTCCTCCAAATATTAGCTTATTGAATCCTGACTATTATTCTTTCGGGAAGTACTATTTTTATCCACATCTTCCAAATGAAATAACTGAGGCCTATCAGGGTTAAATAATTAGGCCAGGCACATAGCTAGTGAGCGGCTGAGCCAAGACTTTAAACCAGGTACTGTCTCAAACTAAAGTTAGACCCTTAATGAGCACATAAATTCAGAGCTACAATAATTAGCAAAGTTTTTACCTTCTATCAGAAATAATTTATTCAAAGATTGCTTATACATTACCTTAGTAAGACAGAGAAACTTTCTTCAAAATTATGTATTTTCATTCTATACTGCATGAAATTTTTTCATTACGTTTTCTGCTACTTTTGTAAACATGATTTTTGTATTTTTATTTTAAACTAGCCACCTGTCAAACCCTTTTTAGAGCCACATTGGCTCTAATAAGACTTCATAGTGGGCTGATACACTTCTAAATCTGTTTGCTGGGCTCTTCATAGTCAAAACATGCACACGTGCACACAGTTGTATTTATTCCTATCAGATGTACTGCATGGGTAGCACCCGTTACTTTATAATTTTTTTAATTGCCCCATCTCCAGTGATAGAGACCAGTTCATATGGCTGCAGGCAGGGTGACTAAAGCAGTTCTGTTCTGGGACTCTTAACATTCGCTGCGTAGCAACCCAGATGCTGTTTAGACTGATGCAGTTCAAGACGAAGAAGTACTGCTATGCAGAGACGTTAGAAAAGGAGAGTGAAGATATGGTATACAATCGAACCTGAAGCTTTAGAGTTAAAAGTACACTGTTAATCTGCTTTTCTGGTGAATTTTGATTTCTTCATTACTAATATCATACCTTTTCCCCCTCTCATTACCAAGGGAAATAAATCAGAGGAATAATAAAGAAAAAGTAATTTTATCCAGTAGAGGGCGTGCTTATAACATAGAGACTCAATTATATTCAAACTTCATTATTTTCCATAGGAGGAGTCATTTTTTAATTCATGAATTTAAAATATTCTTGTTAAGCCAGATCTTATGAAAGAGCACAAGAATTATCTTAGCAGAGGAGAGGGAGTCAGTAAGATAATTAGTTTATAGTTTCACTTTACCTTCTAGTAGAAATGAGGGTATTTCATTCTTTTAAATATATGCCAGGTTACTGAGCTGTTAAAGAAGAGAGTGAGAGTAATTGCAGCAAGGTTAGGGAAGAAGGAACTTTGCTGCAGGAATGTATCAGGATTAGAGCCTAGAGTTTAAATAGAGTTAACTTACTTCAATTTTAAGTCCAGAGAAATACAAATAAGTAGACAATAAAGTAGACCATAATCTTTCCACTCAGGAGTTCCTATGTTCAAATAAAAGTAATGCATGTATAAATTTAGAAATTTAGACTGTTCTTAAAATATTAAGTGAAAAATAAAATCCTCTGCTCTGTTCTTTGCTGCCCAGAGGAGTAATTTTAGAGCTCTTACAATGGGAAAACTATTGAAGGGAGAGTGATAACATTGTCGCAAAGATGATTTGTAGCAAATCCCATACCTAATGTACGTGTTAGTCTGTTGAATAATCAGTACCTTTGTTCTAAGATCTTCGAATAATTTGTGGTTCGTTTGGTCTGGTTCTTCTCTGCTTTATGGACTGTCGTCTCCTTCCGTAAAAGAAGTAGCCTAATGATGACTGAGTTTGACTCCCGCTGGCGAAAATAAGGGGGGAGTCCTGATTTTCCCGACTGTAGGACACATTGCTCTCTGAGGTCCTGCGGGGCCTTTGCTTTATCGCTTTAGAAACAATGAAGCAGTTCTTTGTAGAAAGCTGCAGAAATCATTAAAACATTATTCATTCGTTCATTTGTTTTAACCTTCCTGACTCTGAAGACAGGATCCAGGCTGGGTTGTTTTTCTTTCCAAAAAGAGTGATACTTCCAAGATTAAAAAAAAAAAAAAAAAGATGAAATATTTAGACAAGTTATTTTGGGATTCATTATTAGGCTTTGAATTGAGTAGCAGTTCTAAGCTTTTGTAAACCATAAATTGGATTATAAGTAATCATCCTTACTATTTTTCAGTTCATTAAACAAATATTTAATTGTGAGCTATGAAAGATACTGGAAAGAATATAAAAATAGATATTTAAAATACTGCCCTGTCATGGAATATATAACTTAGCCAGAAAGGTACGCTGTTACATGTCAAACAACTAGAAAATACTGCAAGGCAATATTAATGACAGCATTAATATTTAATAAGTTATTACAGTATGCCAGGCACTGTTCTGAGCACTTCATAGGCATTGTCTCACTTATTACTCAAAACCGTTGGAGGTGTATTGTTAATATCCCTATTAAGTTATTTGATCAAGGTTACACAATCAGTGGCAGAGCCAGGATTTAAACCCCAGTCTTTCTCACTAAATAACTTACATTTTTTTATCACTCTATTACAAATGTTTACAACATTTTGAACTATCATTTTTAAGTTTTATCCAGGAGTTTAAATTGATGACTGCCCCGAACTGTATATACTTTTTTTTTAATCCTCTCCCGAGGACATTTTTTCATTCCTTTTTGGAAGAGAGGGGGAGGGGAGGGAGAAGCAGCGAGGTGAGAGAGAGACAGCGCCCCCCACAGCTGCCAGGACGGGGGTTGGTCGTTCGCGCCTGAACCGGGATCTGACCTGAGCATTGTGGTTACCGGCCGGCCTGCCAGCCAGCTGCACCGCACCAGCCAGGGCCGAAATGCGTGTGCTTCTGACTTTAGGGTTTTGAACTGTAATCGTTACTTCATAGTTTTGATACTGTTTCTACAAGCAAGAGCTATTTCTATCCGAAGTCACTCTTTTAGCTTTTACTTCAGCTTATTAAGTTATGGCATGCAGACTGATGCATGGTATGGTCCCATGTCATTAGGCTAGCTAAGCCAAATCATGTTCATTTCCCCAGGTCTGTGCATATGAGCTTGACTAGTGACATGTCAGGACTACAAAATGGGTTTACTTTTTGCTTTATTGTCAAATTATTTCAAAATTTATTTTGATGGTATTACTTGATGTTTTACATTTGATCGATAAGCATTGCGATTTTCTTAAAATTTAAAAAAGAAAAATATGCATCAAACCAAATAAGTAAATTTAGGAACTTAGGGGTTTATTTAAAAAATATTGAGACTTCCACCAGCAAAAACACAAAATTAGTAGGTAACTGGAAATATCAAGTTTTCTTTCCCATCCATTCCACAGTGTACAGTTCACTGGATAATTAGATAGAACAGTAAATGTTGCTCCACCCAGTGAAGTACATCGATGATATGATACATAGGAGGTTTCTTACTCAGCTATAAAGGTCTTAGACGTGCAACGGTATTACCTTCCTGACGAAGTTATAAAATATGTGACAGGGCTTTTTTTCCCCTGTCCTCCAGTATCTTACATAGCTCATAGCAGTTACAAACTGTAGAGAGAGAAGGTACAATCTTAGGAGGTTTTGTCACCTAAATTACACATCTCTCTCTACAAAGACAGTGTTAATGATGGAAAGACCGTAGGCTTTACAGATGGAACCATGTTTAAGTCATAGCTCAGCTCAGCAAAAAGAACCACCAGCACTAGGTAGGCGAGGCTCTCTGAGGAGCTGACTCTTTCCTAGCCTTTGGAAGCTAAACACTAGAGATGGTATTCACGCAAAAAGACTAGCAGGCAGGCTGTGTTCTCTCGGTGGTGTCCCCTTCCTAGTGTGTCCTGCACCTCTGCCCTTCGTCTCCAAGCTCCATTTGTTTATTTCCATTGCATGCACCTTCTCTCCCTCAGCTCTTCCCCTGAAAATTTTGACTCTGCCACCATCTCTTCCTTCTCTGGGGTTGCTCAGAACACTGATAATGGAACCTCAGAATAAAAGGGCAGGGGGTTCCCTCATAGGACAAGTTTCCCTTATTTTCCACAGCTGGAGTCATACTTAGTCATCATTAGGTTATTTCTTTTACGGAAGGCAACAAAAGACAGTAAAGCAGAGAAGAACCAGCCCGAATGAACCATAAATTATTTCAAGATCTTAGGACAAAGGTACTGATTATTCAACAGACTAACACGTACAATAGGTATGAGATTTGCTACCAATCTTCATCTTTGTGACACTGTTATCACTCTCCCTTCAATAGTTTTCCTAGCATAAGGGCAGTGGAACCTCAGAACAGAAAATGCTAAGAGCAAAAGGCTAAGTAGAAAAAGAGTTCTGAAAATGTTTGGTGGTGATAGTTCACGATGATGTGCATGTACTAAGTGCCCCTGGATGGTATGCTTGAAAATGGTGAAAGTGGTAAATTGTGTATTGTGTATATTTTACCACAATATAAAGAAAACTTAAATTGAAGAAGGAAAAAAGATTGTGCAGAAAGAAACTTGTCCTATGATAGAACACATGAGGATGATATTTTAATATGAAACTTACTGCAGAACACAGTTCTCTTCAGATAAAGTTCAGTGTGCTATAGAGAAAGTTTAAAATTAAATCACTACAGAAAGTAGTAAAACACAACCATGGTAAATTCCCCAATCCATTGGTCTACTTAAATACTATTCCTTTCTCAACGATGCCTGGGGAAAAGCAAAAGAAACCCTTTCACCTTCTGACTTGTGAAGAAAGAAAATAAAATTAGGAACATTATCCATTAGACTCTTACTGAATCTTATTAAAATACCATGTTATGGGATATTGTGTTGCCTTGGTTAGTTGGTTTATATTTGCTTTATAGTCTATAATAGTTTATTTTCAAACTTAACAGCAAAAACTTACTTCCCAAACTAAATTTTATGTATGATCTTCAGTATATAAAACAGACAGTCAGAAAGCATAGTCAGGCTGGTAGGAATCAGGAGTGGGAGAGCCCTGCCCCCTTGGCCTTTGTTCAACGTTGCGGTCACCCCGCAGCCGCCGCTGGAAAGTTGGAACAGGTCAGAAGCCACTGCCAAGTAATCAGAGAGGTGATTTATAGTAGTTGCAATAAGTCTATGGTTCTTTCTGGGCTCTTAGCATTATTATTCCCGTTATGCCATTTCTATGAGACAGTCAGGTTTAATGTATTTCAACTTATAGCTCCTTTTCTAAAATTGTAACCTGATATAAAAGAGAGGTGTGTCTGTAATCAGTTGTTAAAATCATAGTGGCTTTGGTTAGCTATAGAATAAGTCAAAGCCCTTAGAATTTCCTGAAAGTATATTATTACTTTTATTATTATTATTAGAAATACCTGTTCACATAGTATGTCAACAGTGATTTAAAGCCTTTTTTATTTCATGAATTACAGGTTCTAACAATAGTTTTCCTTTTGGAAAACTGTTGGGGAAAATATTGCTATTTATCTGATACTGACTTTCAAATTGATTATCTTTAAATGAAGGCTTTATTGAAGAGGCTCGAGGCTGTGAAGCCAACAGTCGGCATGAAGCGCTCGGAGCAGCTAAGGGACTATCACCGCAACGTGGGCTGTCTCGGCCCGTCGCCGTCCTTACGGCGAGTGAGGGCCACTCTTGGCCAACACAGCCCACTAAGTAAGCATATTCAAAAGGGTTTTCTACTTGTTTTTATTCTTTTTTAAAAATATAGCTTATGTTCTTAGGATAGAGCTTTAAAATGCTGACTTCTAGAATGCATTTTATGATTTTTCACTGGCATGCCTTGTTTTATTTGTGTTAGTTCACTTAATTTCAGGTTTCATTTACAGCAGGGAATGGCAGCATAGGAAGGAAACCAGGAGGAAAAACAATTGAAAATAGCAGTAGTTTTCTTAGATAATGGAAGAGAGACTTTTAATAACTTCAATATATTTATCAAAGGAAGAAACGAATAGATGTGCTGTTTAAAAATTGCTGAAACATTTTCCCTCGCCAGTTAAGAAGTATTAAAAGGTTCAGCCCTTGTATGTGCTTTGTCTTCTGCACTGAGTAACTGAAACAAAAATTATCAGTCAGTAGAGTCACCAGATGTAAACCCTCCTGGTGCTTGTCATGTGATTAGTCACGCGTCTCACTAGTGGTGTGTCGCAGAGAACACAGGCACCCAGTTGGGAGATGGGACATGCAGGGGGGCCCGGCCTCCTCCTGTACAGCAGTCTGTGCTGCTACTTCATGTGTGCGCCCTGAGCTAGAGAATAGAGAAGCCAGAACTGAAAGGGAGTTGGAACCACCTACCCTGCCACAACCTCCTAGTGCTCACCTGAGTCTTGAGCAGTCAGATGACTAGTAATTCCATTCACTCGCTCTCCCAGCATCGCTCACTTCCTTGATGCAGTGACTAAGGCAGGCGTCTTGTCCTGGTAACTCATGCTTAGTATTAGTCTTGAATGTGGTGAATATTTTTGTATAAATGGTTATATAAAAGTTTTTTTTCACTTGACTCATATGATAAGCTTTTTAAAACATTTATTTTCCACCCCAAATCTGTTGAGTCAAAATCCCCTAGTGTAGAATTTGAGGATGTTTGTTATTATATTTTTTAAGTTCCACAGGGAACTCTGAAGTGTATTTCTGGTTGAAAATTATATTAGACTATTAAAAACACATGAGATGGGTGAGAAAAATTAAGTCTGGACTTAATGTTAAGAGAAGTAGTTTATCAGATGATGATTTATGTATTTAGTTTAAATGACTCAAAAGTCATTTCTTATTCTTTGTGTATTCTCAGGAGGAGCTTCCAGGACATCTAGTGCTACCAGCGGTCTCAGCTGTAAGAGTGAGGGAGCAGTTTTTGACACATCTGGTGGCCTGTTGCTAAGACCAAAGCCCCCTAATGTTCGTGCAGCTTGGTTATAAAAGCTTTCTACTTTAAACATTGTTCCTCCAGTTCTTACTGAAGTGCTCTTGTGTATCACTGTAATTATCTGTGTAAACATCTATAATGACTTCTAAGAATTTTAAGTTGTACAACAGCGAGTTGCAATTTACTGTAATTAAATGCAAAATTGTTTTCAAAAAAGACAATTTAATGTACAATCGGTGTTTCCTATGAGGATGTATTTATAGGAGATGGATATGTTATTTAATAGAGAAATGCACGTATGTTGTCTCAGCATAGACATTGATTCAGCTGCCATACTGACAGAGCAGTTGTGTAATAGTATCACTGCACTTTGGACCCAAGATGTTAACTATGTACATCTCATTTTATTTTATTTTCATTTTTTACAAGCTTTAAACCATGAGCATAACTCCTAACTTTGACTGGCTTTGTTTTCTGTTTGCTTTAGGATTTAGGTGCTATGACTCATAACTTGCACCTAAATCCTAAATAACTTTCTTATTAATGAAACAAATGTTAAAATTTGTTTTCATTGGTGGAGCTAATTCACTGGGGTAATCCTTAATGATTCTCCGGAGATAACTACTACCTCTGCATAAATGCGCTGAGTTAGATCTTAAAATTTAACCCACCATTCCAAACTATTCCCAACTGTGAGTATTAGGTCCATTTACAAGCTTCTCTTTCATGTTTTTGTACATTTAGGTAAAGTATTATTAATGACTCTGAGAAACGAGGTAGGCCTTAGAGCTATAGTCTATTGGTGTTGTGAATAGTCGCTACAAGGAAACAGATCATCATAAGCAAAAACAAGTGTTTTTTAAACCAGCAAAATAGCACCACTAGTTTGAAGAGCCAAGTAAATCCTAAGTTGTATCAGAAGTGCTTTAAGTATACTGTTAACAAGTTAAGAAAGAAATGTATTGTCTCACAGCTTTAGAAATTTCAGTTCGTGTTTATAAGGGCTGAAAAGAAAACTAAAATATAAACGATAAAGGGAGGGAAATCACATATTGTTGAGGCTACTTTATATGTCTGCTAATTTTCTTGTTTCTTGGTTTGGGCTTACAGGTGGAATCATGGAATGTCATTTTTGTTAGTTCCGCTTTAAAGTCTTAGTAATCTTACTGGAGTAGTAAGGTATAAAATAGGTGACTTTTGAAATTAGAATATTTTTCTAACTTTTATTTTATACAACAGAGGCTTTTGCTGTTCTAGTTACCACTGTTTTTCATTACTGGCCTTTTAAATATATCCTTAGAATGTATTGGGAAGCTTCTATACTAAATGCCAAGCATTTTTTTAATGCAAATTTTTTATCTGTAGCCACAATACTATTTGCATTTTTCTGGGTTAACTCGAGCTCTATAGCATGTATGCAGAAAGCCAGACTGCATTTAACTAAACATCATTCCAGAATTTCGTGGCCCCAGTTTGTGTTCGTTCACAGGTTGTGTTTTAGGGCAGGGCATCCGAAGCGCGGGGACAGCGGGACCAAGAAAGCCCGCGTGGACACAGCCTGCCTGTGAGAGATCTGCCGCTTTCTTCGGGCTCTGATGGTGGTTCATTTTCATGTGCTGGTCTGTTTTGGGGACCAGGCTTTTTCATCGTTCAGTGTTCTGCTTGATGTGTAAACTTTAGCTATACTAATGCACGGTTTTCTTTTTTAACTTGTACTTTTAATGTTTGTATAGCAACCAGTCTTTAAGGGGCGATAAGATAATGCAGAATTTAGAACTCAAGCATTTGAACATCTGTTCAGTAGTGATTAGCCAGTATTTTAAAATTGATTTTAAGCTGTTGGGGGGGGAAAAATATGTCAAACCTTTTAATGCTCTAGTGGCATTAGTCCCTGAATATTGTAAATGACCCTTGCCATATGTCAGGTGCAACACACAAGCTCATGGGGAAGGGTATACTTTGATTTTAGATACAAATGTACTGCCTTAGTTTTTACTGCTTTGACAGAGGAGGTGCATCTGAGTATTACTAACAGGAATTCAACCTGAAGTAAAAGGAAGAATAACAATATTGATTTTTTCAAAGCAGAATTTGCAGTTCTGTTGTCAGGATTACTTACAGAAGTATAGATAGAAGGCAAGGAATTGAAAAATGAGATACTCTCTCATATGAGTCATGGTACTTGGAAGTTATGGTTTAAGGGGCATTTTTATGAAGGACTTATAATTATACTGTTCTCATTTTCAAAAACATAAAAAGTGAAGGATTGTCTAGCACTACTTTATATTTGGTTTACTTGTACCTTTCTATATATACTTTGAAGATTTACTTTTGCAACTAGAAATTACACTATATCCAAAGTCTAAGTTACTAGGCAAGATTCTTATTGAGAGTTATTTTCCTATCTGTCACATGTTAATGTTGCCTCCTTTTTTAATAAGATTCCGTGAAAGATTTTGAACTATTGAAGTTATTTCCTAAGGGATAACTATTATCTCGGTCTTCCCCTACTTCCTTTTTTTGCTCTCCATAAAAAGCTACCTGCTTAGGTACTACTACAAATAAAACTTTTCTGGTTCGCTTATAAATACAGTGTAATGCAGTTGTTTTCCATCCATTAACCCAAATGTCCAAAACAGACACCTAGACAACTTTAAAAAGAGATTGTTGTGACCAACAGGACTTTGTGCTTCTCCCCTTCAGGCTCATACTGCACACACTGTGGAAAGTATTATGACCAATATAATGTCGGAGACACAAGTTTAATTTATTACCTTTTGATAATTAAATTCACAAATGTTTACTATCTTAAATGCCAAAGTCTTTACCTATAAATGATTGTATACCATCATAGAAAATGTGTTTAATGCTAATGATTACTTTTGTTTCCATGAATGAAGATCAGTAAGAAACTGAAAAATCAATAATGCTTTTTAAATTTTTCAGTCCATTGCGATGCGTTTCACTCATGAAGGACTAGCTTGGCATAGTGAAAACAGAAATAAAAGAATCGAAGGTAACTGAGCTTTGAGCCTGTGTTTCTCTCTCAAGCGCATGGCCTTGTTCCCGTTGAAAAATTATAATTCCAACCTGTGCGTGCCACACGAGACTAAGAATTAGAATGAAGTTGGAAGGGTAAGGGAGGTTATTAGTTATTCATAGAATTCCTAAAGAGTTTGCTTAAAATTCCATTCTAAACCAGGTTATCTAGTTTCTGTAAAATTGTCACAATGCTACAGTGGATACTCTGTTGTAGAGCGTAGGAGTGTCTTCTAAAAGTATCTAGTATCCACATCAACATTTCATATGTATTGTGGGTGATAAGAAATACTCTTTTTAAAACTTGCTGTTCACACATCAGTTTAGGAACCAACATGTCATTTCACTATAATTTAATGAGGGTTTTGTTCATTTTTTTCCCTATGAACCTAATTTCATATTGCTGTTAAAAAATAGTAAAAGAACTTGGATAGTCACCAAAAGATGATTAAAAACTATGGTTCTAAATATACAGCATGTATATATTACAATGGTAGTCTTCACAAAAAATGATACCACATTTATTTCATGTATTGGGGTGATAGCTGATCTCCACGTTTGGAGGGTGCCTGTTTTCGTTATTTCATTCTGAGAGTCTTTATATTTAATAAAGAAAATGTGCAGAATCATAAGTAAGTATATCCGCCTCCCATGTGGTTATGTATACTAACTAGAAAACCCTATCGAGAAGTTTTCATTTAAAATTCCATTTTGGAGAATGAGAGAGGAATGTAATCCTAAGGGGAAATATCCACGAGAAAATGTCGTCTTGTACATTTTGTTGTTGTTTGTCTAAGTGTCTAAGGAAACGCAGAAGAGGGTGCCGACCATAAATGCACAACTCACAGGGTGTCCCAAACAAACACCAGGGCCACCACTAGAATGTTGTTTGGGTAACGGAGCCCACAAGATCCCCGGGGCTCCTGCCCAGTCACTACTATCTCTGCCGCAACGTAACTGCCATCCTCACTTTTAACACCACAGTGTCATTTGGCCTGTTTTTTTTTTTTTAATGTCATATGAGTGAAATTATATTTTTTTATGTCTGGCTGCTTTGGCTGAACATATTTCTGTTTGTGAGATGTTTCTGTGTTGTTTGATGTAGCAGGAATTTGTTCTCATTTCTGTATACTAGTCTGACCTATGATTTTATATAGTCACTTGGTGGTTTATGGTCATAAGAGGTGGTTTCCAGGTTTTAACTATTACAAACAATGATATGAAGACTTTTGTAGGTGTGCCTTGATTACTTGTGCATGAATTTTAATTGGGCATATTCGTACGAGTGGAGTTGCTGGGTCATAAAATCTGCATATTTAGTAGATAAAGCCAGAGCTCTCCAAAGGGAGTACCAACTTACTCTCCTGCAGAAGAGTATGCGTGTGTCCTTAGTTCCTGTTGCTCCATAGCCTCACAGTATTTAGTGTCGGTCATTTTTAAGTTTTACCATTGGAGTGGGTATATAATGGTATATTGTGACTTTAATTGTGCTATTCGCATCTGATTGAGCACTTTTTCATGTTTATTGGACATTGGAAGTGCCTTTTCAAGGATTTTGTGTTTGTTTTTTTTGGCTGTTTTTTCTTTTGGTGGAATGTCTTTTTCTTATACATTTGTAGGAGCAGTTATATGCTCTAAATACACTACAGTCCTGGTATGAATTATGGTACAAATATTTTCTCCTAGTCTGGTTTGCCTTTTCACTGTGAATGGTCTCTCTGAACAGAAAGGTATAATAGTCCACTTTATCAATCTTTTATGGTTAGTACTTTTGTTAAATGTTAAGATTTTACAAAATGTTCATCTACCTGAGGCATTAAGATAGGCCGCTACCTTCTAGAAATGTTGCCTTTCACTTTTAGATTTGCAGCTCCCTTGGCACTATAGATTGTCTTTTTCACTAATTCTGTTACCTTAGCTATTTACTTCCAGATTTATTCTTTGGGTTTATTTTGCTGTTATTTTTCTAACTTCTTGAAAAGGATGTATAGTTCATTGATTTTCAGCCTTTTCTAACATGCATTGCTTGAAGGCAATAAATTTGTAGCATAGTTTTAGCTATTTCTTACAATTTTTGATAACGTGGTATTTTTATTAAGTTCAAAATATTTTCGGGCTTCCATTGTGATTTTCACTTTTAAAGTAACAGGTTCTTTAGATTATATTTTCAATTGGATGTTTTAAAGTTGTATTTGTGGTTTTGGTTTATATGAAAAGTTGTAGGAAAATCTTGAAGCTCTAATAGATCAAGGGCAGCAAGTGACAGCCCATGGGCCACATTCGGCAGCTCAGTGCCTGTTTATGTGGCTTTTACTTTTTTTAAGTGAGTTTTTAAGTGAGTTTTAAGATCACAAGAATGTTTTTTGACATGTAAACATTCCATGAAATTCACACTTGTTCATTGGCCTAGCGTGTTGCGTAAATGACCATCTGGCCAACCAAACCTAAAATATTGACAGTCTCTTCCCTCGGGGAGAACGTTTGTTGACCCCTGCTCTGGATGATGTTTTCTTCCAGACTTTTGCCCCTGGCAGGCCGCAGAGGCGCCACATCTCAAACTGGGATGACCTGAAGGTTGGCCTCCGCGACTGCAAGGCCCAGCTGTGTCCAGCTCACCCTTACTACTGGGGCGCCAGCCTTTGGGTCCCACTCAAAACAGGTTTCCCGGGGCTCCCCGCTTTCTTGGCAGGCTGATTTTTTTTTTTTTTTTTTTTGGCCTCTCCTTGAGAGGTTTTGAAATTCTCCAGTCCCTTCATCAGCCTTTCAGCTGAATTTCCCACGATTTGCAGGCACCCAATGGGGAAAAGTATCAGATAGGGTGGAATGTCAGACTTACTTCTGGGTTGGCTCCTCCTGAAGTCTTGGCTCCGTAATTTTCCATGCCTTGTTCGCTAGCTCCCCAAGGCCTTCATGCAGGTTTTCATTTTAAATAGTTTGAACGCCTTTTCTAGTTGGCGGAAGGTGCATTGGTTTGCGTTACCTGGTTGGCCAATATAGAAATCCTTTATAAACCATAAATACGGTTTGTTTTTTAAGGTAACGCTCAGTTGTTAACAGTGAAATGGGCCACCCTTGAACCTGAATGTGTTGGGGCGACCCTCAGCAAAGCGGCCGCATCGCCTCTGGGAGCCCCCTGCTGGGCCAGGGTGGGCATGACGGGGGCTGGGGGGGAGCACAGAGCTTCGCTATGACGGTGGGACAGGGCAGCCAGTTTCTTACTGCGGATGCAGGACTGAGTAGGTGGAAGAGCTCAGGAAGGAAGGGGAGGAGAAGAAGGTGCAGGGGCCCTGCGCCCCTCGGACCACCCCGCAGGGGGACCAGGACGCGTGGCTGCCTCCCCGGCTTTGCCGAGGACGAGGACGGAGGAGCTCGGCTCCTGCCCGGCACCCAGCAGGCCAGGACCGTGTGCGCTGTCTGGCCTTCTGGACCAGAGTTCCTCATTTGCTACTTGAAGCTGTAATTACTTTCCACTTGCTCACACGAGTCAAAGC